ACTTTATCTGTCTTGCCTGTTGTGGATTGTATACGCTTGTTATAACTATTGCTTGTGTCTAGCCTTATCTGTCGAGTCATTCCCGGTTTAAAAGCTAGAGTTCGTAGGATATATCTTCATGCTCAAAATGGTTTTCGTATATCTATATATATCTATATGTATTATATTTCAACGCGTTGGAGTGGGTTACCAGCATCTCTCGCTGAACAGATATATTTGGCTTTCAGGCACAGAAGAATAAGTCACTGGAGCGCGCTAGAAATTGGAACGTAGAAGTAGATAGTTTCCCTTTCGGCCTGCGTGTCATGCTTATGCATTTACATTATCAAGGATATTAGTTAGTTAGCCTGTGCATCTGAGTTCTCTGGCTCAGGTGTGGCATAACACCCCGTGCTCTTGTATTACGTTTTAGGATTTAAAGAGATTCCGCCTTTATTTTATAAGTTTTAAATATCTTGAAATTTCGGGGTGTTACACCCTAAGGTTGTGGGAAAGCTAGTGTTGGATGCCACCAACCTTCGGAGTTATAATCCGTTTCTGTTGGATGATGGTGAGTACATCACGCTTGAGGAAGTTGCAAGGAAAGCACCTGATGAACGGGCCGAGTTGGCAGCAGCGCTTGGAATCCATGCCGAGAAGTTGAGTCTCGCTGTCCAGAGCTTGGGAGGTGATGAGGAAGCCGAAGATGAAGTCGACCTTGAGGACGAAGTGGGAGCACCGGAGGCCGTTGCAGTTGAAGAAAGCGACTCGGAGGGTGAAGAGAACCGACGAAGAAGAGAAGCTCGCACCAAGAGGGAGCACGACTCCATGTCGCATGAAGAGCGTGTTGTTGCTTTGCTTCGTTAGCAGAACCGCTTGATCGAGGAGAGCTTTGCCTACATGAGGACGCAGTTCGTTGTCGTGCATCAGAGGCTAGACCAGGTTGAGGCCAGTTCGAGCCGTAGAGACGAAGATGAGGAGGAGCTTGAGGAGGCCGAGGAGTCTGAAGAGGACGAAGAGTCGGAGAGCGAGTCTTTCTAGTAGCTGCGGTTACCTTGTTCGCCTTCTTCCTTGTAGTTGTTTTTCTTTGGCCGTTGTTGCCGTTGTTTGGTTGCTTGTTGTTGCTTTTGTGCTTGCTTTGCTTGTAGCCTTGAGGCTTAGTTAGCTTCGTAGTAGTAGCATGTGTTTAGTGTTGGTTGTCTATTTCTGGGTTGTTATCTAGAAGTCGGTGTTGGTGTTAAATCTAGAGTTTGTGATGCTCAATCTACTCCTTTGTTAAATTCTTGCCAATTCAGGAATTGTTATGCCTTCTTTCTTGTTTGGAATTCTTGTGAAAATCTTTTGAGCTTTGACCGAAAGGATTCGTTCTTGAACCTCTTGTCACAATGTTGTTCCCTATCACCGTTTGTTTCTAATTCGTCGTACCCAAGCTTCGGGGATGAAGTTTCTTTGAAGGGGAGAGGATGTGACACCCCAAAATTCCGCATTCGATCCATGGATTAATTGAGTAATTAATCCTATTTCAATTGAGGAATTAATTCCTAAAATCCTGATTTTTAATACTTGAGGACTAGCATTTGACTAGTCAATTTCAAAGTCATGTTGTACCTTGAGCTTTGAAGGGTGTTCCCTTGTTCCTTACACTTTCTAAATGTTATTAAGGGCATTCTTGACCTTTCACCATGTGTTAGTATTGTAACCTAACCTAGAAGACATCTTCATTTCACCCCTTACACTTTCTAAAACATTAGCTCTACCTTCTCTCTAGAAAGGTGAGTAGCTTTTCCTCCAAGCTAAGTTTAGACCTTGCCAAGACTTCAAGATTTTCTTCCAAGATTCAACCTTTCACCTATTTGGGCATCTAGGAGGGTAAGATCTAAGTCCATCTTGTGTTTTTGGTTCCATCTCACACTACAAGAAAAACAACTTTTAGTGACAAAAAATTAGTGACGGGTAGAAAAACCCCTCACTAAATATAGTATTTGCATAGTTTTTGTGAGGGTAAAAAATTACTCTAGCTAAATATTTATGATTTGGTGACGAAATTTTAATTTTAATTTTATTTAAAAAGTTTGCTCTCACTATTGGTAAAAAAGATGTTATTACTCTCACTAATGATGCGTAAAAATTATTTCACTAAAATCTATTCCCACCAAAACTTTGTTTTTGGGCGCTTGCATCTCACCAGCTCTCAACACCGCAACCCCCTCACTCAGATTACGCACAACCTCCACAGTCCACACTCTCCCTTCTCACTCTCTCAAATCTAACTCTACCGTGAACCTCCACCACCGCCTTCATCGCCATAGCCGCCGCTGATTGCTTTGTCTTTTCAAAAAGAAATTTGAAACCCTAACTTACCCAAGTCTCCCTCCTCGCTTCCTCCGGTCTCCAAGATTCCAAGCAAAGCTGCAACCGAAGACGAAGCCGATGAGGGCACCGCCTTCCCTGCGGTAGTCGCGGACAAGGGCTCTGCCTCCCCTGCTGTGCCGCCGACCAATTCGCCCAGTGCCGGTAAGGGTTTATTGTTATCTTATTTTGTATTTTTTTTGGTTCTGTTTCTATCGACAATCCGACAAAGGCGACAAAACTGTTGCCGCCGACGAGGGGTCTACCTCCCTTGCGATAGCTGCCGACCAGTTCGCCCACCGCTGGTAAGTGTTTCCTGTTATCTATATTTGCTATTTTTTTTTTTTTTTTACAGTTGAAGTTTTCTATATTTGTTTATATATGTATATGTGTGCTGTGGATGAATATGAATACTTAGAATAGTATTTGCTGTGGAGAATACTCCAATTAAAGCCTTGAAAAGGGAACCCCCTTTCATATTCGAATTAGGGCAAGGTAACCATTTCTTGATGAAAGAAAAGGGTCAGATCAAGAACCTTTTGAGTATCAATGTTTAGAAGTTAACAATAAGCTCTGCATTTCTCCTGTCAGATGGCCAGTTTGCAGATTGATAACTTGAATGTTTTACTCTGCTTTTCTCTCATCTCTACTACTAGGATCCCCTATTGTTTTTTTAGTCGATTTGTTTTGAATTTCCACTTCTTTAGTTGAACTAGAGCTGCCTGTTATTAGTTTTCCCTTTTGGGGATCTATTTTTGTGTTCCATTATACTTAATGTTGCTAGCTGCATTTGTTGATTATGAGTATTGTGTTTTGATGTAATATGTTAATTTACTGCAGAACTCTACTATGTCAGTGACAATGTCAAATTTCTCTGTTGGCTCCAACAAGTCTGCATATCTTTTAATAAAAGACCAAACGGTTAGTGACATCTTGTCTACAATAAGATGTAGACAGGTATGGCTTTTAAAGTTTTGATTCTTTAGTTCTCTCCTTTATGTACCCTTGGTGCTTGGCAAGAGTGCTCTTTAACACTTGTGTTGTTTCATGCTAATGCCTGAAGGCACTTCTTTAGTATTCTCAATATTAAAGAATTGTTGGTTTAGGGATTATGAGGGTAGTGTGCTTTTTTGGCAGATCAACTACTATTCTGTATAAAAAATCACTTTCAAACATTCAGTTTCTAGGCTGGCATTTGGCTTTAGTCTCCTATTTCATGTTGATACCACAGTTTCATATAGAGCTATGTCATGTTGATACCACTATTTCACATAGGAGACTAGAAGTACTCATGAAATTACCACTGTTTCATGGCTGGCCTTAGTCTCCTATTTTAGACATTCAATTTTCTGAGCTTGTCTTATGACATCAGTGGGGTTTACATCCCACCACTGGTCATCATTGTTATCAATACGTTATTGATTATTTCATAATTTTTTAAAGCAAAATACTGCAGAAACTGGAGGCCGAGAGCAGTTAAAAAATTGTTTGCTTAATCTTTTCTTGCGTTTTAGGTGAACGACAGGAGCCTTTGATGTATAATGTCGTTAGGAACCGGATTCAGACGGAGTTCCCGGTGGTGGGACTGGATTGATGAGGTATATTTGCTTTTCATTTTATGGTTTCATTATAAACTAAGGATAAGATTAAATTATTGCGTTCTCTTTGTCCTATTACTCATGACTTGGTACAAATATTTAAAATTTAATTAGATTGTGGTGATGATAAAGATTTTGATTTTTGTTGTTCAAGATTGCTCACCGAAACATGCATACAGTAAATTGCTGTAGTTTCAAGAATTTCGAGTGTATAACAGTATACTATTCTATTTTAAATTCTATACAACAGAATAATTTTAAGTGTATAATAGTTTAATGGGCCATATTACATTGAGCTACCAGAATTTTCAGGTTTGCAATTGTCTCCAATGCTAGTAAATTTTACCCATATTTCCATGATTTCTTCTACAATTTCACTTATAGTATTTTTTGTCTTCAGGCCACTGATATCCCTGGTATCGTGAGGAGGCATGATGGTATGACTCAGGCCTTTGTGTTTAATATAGGTATCATTGCTCTTGAAGGACAGTTTCATCGAATCCTTCCCCTATCGAGATCAACCATTTATGAAGGTATGTTTCTAATGCTCAGTGTTATATATTAACGGTTATTTTTCTGTCTTGTGAACTAAGATCATTGTCCATTCGATTCATATTTGACTTTGTTTCCTGAGATATGTATATAATGTCACTAAACTGTTGAAATAATCAACAAATGCTTTGCTCTGAACATTACAAAATCTTTAGTTTGCTTTCTGTGAATGCTTCAAACCGAACATAATTAATCAATCCCCAATGTATTTGTTTTTGTATGGCATGAAACAGCTCTTCCTGGACACACAGCTCTTCTCTGTACATACAGATTTTGTACTTCCTTTCTTCCAAAATGAATTGGGTGATGTACACACAGAATAGTTCTATTGCAATCTGTATTTATAATTATATGATTATTATTATTCTTAACATAAAATTTTTGTTTAATCATATGCCATAGTAGATGTCACCCTTCTCCTTGCTGTGTTACAAATATTGATAGATCATTTGATGGATTCTAAGCTTGGAAGTTGTATGTCTTAAGATTATACTAAAACATTTTGGGGTTTTATTGACAGAGGTTTGTGATTTCGAAGCTGGCCGGAAGTGAGATGATAAGCAGGGGTTTGAGCTCACCACTATTCTTGCAAGACTTGAGCAAAATTAGTTCAAATACTTAGGCAAAATAGCCAACAGATACATTACTATGACTATTTGTTATAATTAGTTTCTTTGTCTTTAGTTGTTACAAAGTTGTATGAGAAATTTCATTTTAATAGTGATGATGAAATATTTTAATATATTGATCGAGTCTACTTTGAATGCATTATGGTAAAAATTAATTTAATTTTTACCAATACAATATCTATAGTTACAACATAACATAATATCGATTAGTGAGATCACAATGTATTAGAAAAATTAATATTTAATGAGAATTAATAATATATAAAAATTAGAAAAATAAAATTTAACACTAAATTATAATTTTTAGTGATGGGATTTTCCATCACTACAAGAATATAATGAGAGAAAATTATGTTAGTGAGTAGTTGTATTAGCAACGGGATTTATTGTCGTAAAAAGAATGTTTTAGTGACGGTAAATATACTATCACTATATGCTTATTGACGATGGTATCATATCCCGTCACTATTTGTTTTTATCCACGGAAGAAATAACGACGGGTGGTGACGGTAAATTTCCCGTCATTAAAAGTCTTTTATGATGGTTTTTGATGTTTTAGTGACGGTTTTACCTCTCACTAATGACCAATTTTCTTGTAGTGTCAGATGTCTTTTTCTTAAAAGTAGGATCTTTATGATCTTTTGGTTTGTTCTTGAAGTGGGTTTGGAAAGTAAGCCCTGTGGGGATCTTGTTGAAGTGTAAAGTGAAGTCTTTTAGTCTACAAGAGGTAACACATGCTCTACAAAACCTATTTTTCTTACCTATATGTGATTTCTTGGATTCTACTTGTGTTTTGCTATGAAATGTGAGTGTTTATGCATTTGTCTTGTGAAAATGCATATCTAGAGCTTGTGTTTAGGGTTCCTTTGTGCCATTGCTTGGCATTTCCTATGATTCAAGTCATTTTATTGTATTGGGTGAGATTTGGCATGTTTTGGACTTGAATTTGAGCTTGGAGTAGAAAATCCCCGAAGGGATTATTTTGGACACAGGGACGTACCCGTGGGCGGAACGATGGGCAGAGCCCTACCCGCCGCCCACCCGCAGGTACATTGGCCTCGTGGGTGTGTACCCGCGGGCGAAACCACGGGTAGGGGCCTACCCGTGGGTCTACCCGCGGGGAACACAGTGGTGTTGTGATGGGATTTGTTCCCCGTGATTCTTTTGACTCGGTATTTGGTCTTTTGACTTCCCGTTGTTCTTTTGTGGAACTATTTGAGTGTCTTCTTGATGTTTCGTATGTCTAGAACTATATGGTAGGTATCCATGTAGGACTTTGGTGTCTTGAATCGTGCTAAGTGTTCAACATTGTGTTTCGTTGGACCGTGAAGTGTCTTGTGTGTTCCTCGGAACTATCTTTGGTTTCCCCGTTGATAAGCATGCTAGTTCAGTGTCTAAATGCTAGCGTATGTGTTGTTTGTACCTTCCGATTGGTTGATGATAACTTGTGTTATCCATCATTGTTGTTGTTGGGCTGTGACCCATTCCTTGATTGAGTATGTTTCATACCTTCGTTGTAATCCGTTGATTGATTCCTGTTGTGGTGTGATGCATGTGTGGCTTTACCTGGATTACACGATTAGTGGTATGGGACACTAGTCACCAAGGTATTGCAGTGGTCCTCGTGGTGGTCGTGACGTGATTATGGAGGTGTGACCTGTGTGTACTATGAAATTGGTGGTTTTGTTGGTGGTTTTGTTGGTGGGGAACGACGGTCCCAGGAGGGAAAAGGTTGGACTAAGAAGTACAGGGGGTCCTGGAGGTAATGGTTGGAATGAAGATACAAGGTTGGGGGTAGCCATAAGTTTGGAACAGGGCATAAGACAGGCATACCAACTCGTGATGGGTGATGCCACGAGGGCTATTGTAGCCGGTGTTGTGTGTTCTTCTCTTGTGACGTGTGTAGTCACAAAGGCATGTGTGGCCTTGGCATGTGTTGCTGGTTGTGTGCGTCTTATTCTTTCGCATTGTACTTGTCGGGTTTTGATCTATTGAGTGATGATAGAGCATGCCTTGACTCTTTGGTGAGTCGTGTTGTTCTTGTGGTCTTGGGATGTGTTCCCATGTTGCTTGTGAGCGTGTTGAGTCTTATGTTGGCTTTGACTCTTGGTTTTACACATATATATGTATTCCGTTTCGAAAATGGTTTTGCAGCTTATACCTTACTGTGACCTCTGGATGCGGTTAGACAACACCAGGTGAACATTTAGCATTCTCATCTGAACTGTGAGGTTCAGTCTGCTCATCATTGCTGCCACTGGCTGGACTGTGTCTGGGTTCTCTGTTGACTACCCAATGTTGTCACACTTTCTACACCTTTTTTTCAAAAAAAAAAAAAAAAATTGTTGGTTCAGCCTGCTAGGCGACCGCCCAGCCATTGAGGAGGCCAAGTCCTGCCTTCCTCCCAGTGGCTGGGGGGGCGTCTAGGCGCGATTTTTGCAACATTGGGTACTAACGCAAATAAGTACCCATGTGATAAATACCCATATCTTGACCAAGAGACATGAGAAAAGTTTGTTGAGCTTCATACATGTCCATAATATGAGATATCATTATTTTTCTATCAATTATTAACTCAATATATTTATTATATTTTACTAATTAATGTTTTCTTTTTATGTAGGCAAAAAGAAAAAAAAAACATCAAAGAGATATAAGCTAAGGATCTCGATCCACATCATTTATCTCAAGGGGTCTATAATAGGTTGGAGAATATTATGATGGAAGAGAAGTTGAAAGAACAACAAGAAGCTACAAATTAAATTCAGATCCATCATATGTATTTACTCATCCAGCTCTTATACGTAGACATGAAAAGTGGAAGAAGGAAGAATGAATAAGTTGGGAAATTTCCCCACCGAAGCGACTAGAATGGTCGTGGAAAAAATTGTAAGTAAATATGTTATAATTTTCTACATTAATAGTTATGTTTAATAAATTGGACAAAATATAATTGTAATCATTATTAAATATTGTTATGTGAGTTAGGATTCTCTCGGGTTGCAAGCTTCTCAAAGAGAATTCGTTGAATTACCAGCTGTAAGTAATCGTTTATAGTTAATCGCATTATTATTTGTTAAAAATATTTTATATGATTCTTAATTAATAATTCATGCACTTAGGATCACGATGTAACAACCCAAAAATTTGTCTTCCCAATTAATCCTATTTCATAAATAACTAGTTAAAATATTTTCCCAATATTTTGTTTCTAAGTTGACTATTGCCTTTTTATAAACAGAGTATTTATTCAAAAACACTTATGGTGAATAAATAAATACAAAGGTCTATTCATGTGCCTTAGTTTTCGAGACTTAATTTGGGAAAAATATTATTTGAGAGATACCTGTGAATCTGAGAGAAACCTGTGAATCTGATAGCCAAGTTTTCTTTAAAAACATGACTTCAAAATACTCCTATCATCTTTCTAAAATTATTATATTGTATTATAGTCCAAGTTTAACCAAACATGTGATCCAAAATTATGAATTCAATACCCAAATTCCCAATTTTACTCCCCTAAGTTGGCGTGAATGAGCTTATGCATAGCCTAGGGCTTTGTGCCCTAGGTATAAAATCATATTACTCCATTGTCTTGCCTCTCAATCTCTCTCATTTCATTTTGGTTTGTCCTAAGAAAACTAAGAGCACAAGAAGCAACTCAAGTATAAGACTCCTTTCTCTTCTCTTTCGTTTCCAAGACTTTCCATACCCTTCAATTCTCTCCTCTCCTTAGCTAGAATAAATGTAGTATTGAATATTTCATGTGCTTGTGAATGATACATTGTGTGTATTTGTTGGTTATGGGAGTTTAAGAGGTGTAGAATACAACCATTCTTGAGGTGTAGAGGAAGGATCCTAGCTTTTGGAAGCATCAAGCTTGAGGCATAACCCTTGGAAATCCAAAATATACTATTTTTCCTCTATTTGTCTGATAAATGCATGTTTGAATGTTATTGATGATGTGTGAGCTTTAGAAGTGATTTAATCTCTTGTTTGATGTGGGAAATGTGTTGGAGGATGTTGTATTGTTGATGTTTTGCTTGGTTGGCATGTCTGGAGGTTTTGTATCCGGTTCAAAGTGGACAAAATGCCCAAGTGTGGAACAGAAAAAGGGATACGAGGCTACTGCCTCGTCTCTGCCAAGAAGGCATGCGGGCCTGGCCGCGGGTCCTGGGAGACCCGCCGGCTGGCCTGCGTGCGCAATGGCAGGTCCTAAGCAGCTTGCCACTTCAATCCAGGCTGCGCGATTGGTGCAGCGGTTCTCTTGAGACCCGCCGCCCAGCCCACGGCCTAGGCCTGTTGATTTCTCGCAGGTCTGTCAATTGTGTTTTGCGGGTTTTCGTTACTCATAGGGCTCGGGTACTTGTTCTAAAGTGCTATGTGGTACGTCTTTCGTGTACAAAATTATTTTTCTCAATTAAAGCATAATTTACCTATATGTTGGTTATGAGACTTTGCATATGATCCACATTGTTTTTTACTAAACTTTATATCCCACATGCCTATCATGTATCCCATATTTTCTCAAACTTCGTTTAGGCGTAGTATGCCACTTGTGTGTTTGATGTGAAGAAAATCATTATATATTGGAGGAGGTGCTTGATTTTCGGTTACTTGAAAAGAATGCTGAAATGAGATCCGATTGAGAATTCTCAAAAGGTTATTTGAAATGTTGTGATGAAATGAGATCCAGTTGAGAATTCGCGGAAGTGTGTGTGATGCGTAGTATATTTGAAAACAAATAATACTCGGAAAACGTTTTAGATGGTGTTAGATGAAGCCACGTGTCACCATCTCAACCACCTTGGTGGTTATTTTTCTATTACGCTATACTGTTTTTTTTTTCCTCTCTTTCCAGTAGTTCAAATGGCCTTGTATATAAGCCCGTGTGCTTGCACAGTTTTTTGGTTAAGGAAAACAGCTCCTTCTTCTTCTTTCTTCTGCTTTCGATCTTCCCTTCCATCTCCATCTCTTAATCCGCAACATGGTATCAGAGCAGGAAGACTGAGATTCGCAAAGCTCTTCATCAATGGCTTCTGGTTCGATGA